GCAAAGAAACGGCGCACCACATGTGGGGAAGCAAAGCCCTGCGAGAAGAAGATGAAATGATGAGGTCGCAGTCGCAGTAGTCGTCGTCGTCGTAGTGGCCGACCTCCTTGACCTGGGTGTTGTACGGGCGGCGGGCGACGGTGACGGCGGGGGAATGGAGCGCACAGAAGGCCACAGAAGCACCAGACTTGAGGAGGCTGGCCGGCGCAGCACCCTTACAAGCGACTGCGGAAGCCATGGTCTCTCTCTCTCCACAGATGGCAGCAGGCGGCGACAGCGGAGGGCGGCGGCGGGGACGGACTAGGTTGGGGCGGTCCAACCAGGTGGGGAGGGCGGGGGGAGCTGTTTTATGTGCATAATTTGCAAAAGACCCCTGCTTTCCTGCATATTCAAGCGGCTGGAGACGAGGTGGCAGTCAGTATCCGCGTGGCACAAGTTGACCGCTGCCAAATCAGCGAACATGTAGACCAAACAGTATAATGGACCGTATGTGAACACCTAGAACAAGTTTAGGGATGGTATTTTGGGTATTTTCAATTACGGGGACTAAAGTGATCGCCGGTGCAAGTTTAAGGATCACACACGGCGATGGAGCCCGCCGCCGACGACCTCCTCGCCGCTCTCTCCTCCCCCTGCTCCGGCGCCGGTATTCACGCCCGCTTCGCCGCCTACCTCCAGCCCTTCTCCCCGTACCTGCTCGCCGCGAACCCTAACAACCCCAGGCCACCGCCCAAGAGGATGACGAAGCAGCCCACGCAGCAGCCGACCGACGCGGCCGCCGTCCGCCCCCTCGCGAAGCGGTTCCTCCCGTTCCTCTACCGCGCGCTCCAGCTCCTACGCTCGAACCCTAGCTCGGCCGCCGACGAGCTGCTCGAGATCTACGGCCTCGTCCTCGACTGCCTGGACGCCATCTCGGCGTGCCTCGCCGGGAAGCCCTACTCCGTGCTGCTCCAGCGCGGCCACTTCGTGCGCTGTCTCGAGTTGCGCGGCCACTACGCGCGCGCCGAGGCGGAGGCCGCCGCCACCCTCGACGCCCTCCGCTGCGCGCTCTCGCCGACGCCGATGACCGCCCTTGGGGCCGCGTCCCTCCTCCCCGAGCCTGCAGGCGTTGCAGGGGAGGACCCTGAAATCACCACACTCGCGGTTGAGCTCACCGTGTGCCTTGCTAATTGTGCCAGCAAGGGCAAGGTGAAGGAAGCCGCACCGTATCAACGGCTCCTTGTCCTTGTTGACCAACTTCGCCCATGGCTCCGGTGGCTCTGCTAACTCTGCATTTTTCTTCTTCACTAAACTAAACAAGGCATGCATATATGGTGTGTGACTATGAGATTTTGTCTGTTTGCAGGATTCTGACCGAGGAGTCCAGCAGGAAGCATCTCACTCTGCTTGTGAATGCACTGAGCCGTTGTGCTATTTTCCTTGCTGCTGAATCTCTGTTTTTCAATGAAAAGCTTGTGCACAAGTTCTGTGTTGCAACCTTACAGGAGTGTGAGAAGCCACAAATGATCGAACACTTGCCCGCTGTACGAGCACTAGCGAATTAATTGCGATTGGAACTCAACAGATATAACTTAATTATATTGATTTGTTAATGGTTTTACTGTTTATTCTGGTTGAAGGTTGCACGCGTGATCTGTTCTTCTGTAGATTTGAGTTGGGGAGGGAGCACACATCTTTTGCTTGGTGTGTTGAAGATTGCTGTTTCACATGTCAAGGTAAATCCCACTGGAACATGTTGCATTTCACTAAAATTCAGAAGAACATTAAACTGCATGAAGTTTAGCATTAAAAGTCGTTACTTGACTATGCCACATGAATGTGAAGCTAGAAAATGGTTCCTAAAATTTGTAAATTCAAATTATTAGTGGGACTTGCTTTAGAGATGTGTGTGATTAAAATTGGAATAAGGCTTATCAATAGTTGGACTTGGTAAACCTATCTTGCTAATCATTGTTTCTAGCTATGGTTTACACTTCTTTGGGCACCACATTTATTCTATAATTTATACTGGATTATAAAATCGTGCTCAAGAAACTGTTCATCTGCGTCAAGTATAGTAAATTCCGTGCAAAGTATTTAGTATTTACACTTTTGGTTGCTTAAACCATATAGAGCTCCACTTCCCTGTGACCGAGCAATTTCACGCAGATAAAACATGTTGTCTTTCACATAATTCAGAAGCACATTAATCTGCACTAAGGCTCAGTTTGCGGTTGCTTAACTGTTCTGTGCTGTGCATATTTAATGTCGTGGAAAATTAGACACACAAGTAGGCAAAAGAGGGTCAATCAAACACTAAAATGAACAAAAGCGGGTTGGGAAAACGGTATTATGATAATCCACCGAAGTACCAATCGCAACTCAAGTTTAGCAGTAAAAGTGGTGACTTGACAAAATCACATGAACGTGAAGCTGGAAGTATAGTTCATAATCTTATCAAAATTTATACTATTAGTGTGATTCCTTGTTTTGGAAGGGGAGCCTTGGAGCAGCAGTAAAGCTGTTGCCTTGTGACCATGAGGTCACGGGTTCGAGTCCTGGAAACAGCCTCTTGCAGAAATGTAGGGAAAGGCTGCGTAGAAAAGACCCAAAGTGGCCAGAACCTTCCCCGGACACTGCGCAAGCAACATCCTCTTGCAGAAATGTAGGGAAAGGCTGCGTAGAAAAGACCCAAAGTGGTCAGACCCTTCCCCGGACACTCCGCAAGCGGGAGCTACGTGCACTGGGCTGCCCTTTTTAGTGTGATTCCTAGTTTTGGAGATGCACAGGTGTGATTCAAAGTGATTAGGGCTTGTCAGTAGCTTAACTTTGTAAATCTATCTTAGTAAACATTGTTATTATTTTCCACCTATGGTTTACATTCCTCTATTGACAGACAGAGTGCCCTTGTTCATAATGTAAACCTGTTCCACATGAATACCTTACTGTGAGCTTGTGGTACTTTTGGGCTTTTGCTTATGGAGAAGCAAGCTTATGGATTTCGGTGGGGATAGATAAGCTCCGGTGGGGAGAAGCTCACAAAAACTGATATTCCCCTTCTTTTGGGCTTATGGAATTTGGACTTATGAGATGTGTAATGTCTACATTGCGCCTGAATCTATTATGTGAACTTATCTGCAAGTGAAATACATGTTGTTCTTCTACCACGATAGGTTGTAATCATCATCAGCTACCACTAACGGTATAAAATGAGTTTTGTTTGAAGATGCACGCCATCTAGTTGTCAACAACAAAATTGCTAAGATGTCAAGCTGTAGTAGATTTCGCGATTTGCTCTCTGAACCTACTACAACAGTTAGACATCATGTGCTACTGCTAACTTCTTACCATTTATCAGACATCCAGAAATAATGCATTATCCTTTTTTGCCTCATGGGAGTGTAGAAGCCTAATTGGAGAAATCAATCTCAACCCAGGAATCGGTGCATTAGTACCGTAGGTACTAGATAGTGAATTGTAACTGAAAAAGATATGATTACTAGTTCACATGTTCATGCCGCCGGCTGAGCGGCTGCGGTCACACAGCAGAAGCAACAGCGCATGTTGTGCTCCAGGATGGGAAGCAAGTCAGCAGTACCCTATGCTGCGACGCGACCACACGGAGGAGGCAGCGCCGGTGGAGGGGTGCAGCAGATTGGCCGTCCGGTTGGTGAACCAGGCGTCCAGGGAGGCCGCGCGCTACCCGCCCACATGGAAAATTGAATGAATAGCATTTGGGGAGGCTACCGGCGATGTGGGGCAGCGGCGGCGTCAGGGGAACGGGAGGAACCCTAGAAGCGAGATGGGAGGGTAGAGACCAGTCGATGCGTTTGTGAAAGAAAGATGGAAAACGATTCGTTTAGTTTGGTGGTGGCAGTGTGGACGTAAATAGCTCAAACATTAGGGGTAATGAGATATACCTCTTCGTTTCTAACCCAAGAAGCTCGGGAAGCTGGCAATTTTTTGCTTCTCCGCCCAGCCAAATTGCACTGCGGACCAGGCTGGCGGTGGGGAGAAGCAACCCAGAAATTTTGACTTCTTTTGGGCTCCGGTGTGGAACCTATAAGCAAAGTGTAGAAGCCCAAAAGAAGGGGCCTTAATTTAGTGGCGATACTGAATGTGCTAGATGTCTTGGAGCGGCAGATGCTGTTTAAGAATCCTGATTCAGTTTGTTGTTCTATCTTGAAGCATTCTACCTCATTGTGATTTCTGATGGCCTAAGTCGCAAAGCAGATTTCTGGTGCACTTCGGGTCTCATATATTGTTTGCACTGGGTGTATTAATTCCATACTGCTCATCACCATCCTGTGAAAATTATAAGACAATGAGTTTTTTCACCAAAAATACATTGTTAACTGTTGTAATATCATGTAAACATTTTCAGGATGACTTACCGAAAGCTGTAAACGAGTTCCTGAAATTTGTAGCATATTGTTTCCGAAGCTTTCTTTCTTCAAATAGGAATGTACATGCTGGTGCTTCAGAACTACTTTTACAAGGTGATTATTTTCCCGAGGTACATTCTGCACTATTTAATAGCAATGCTTGATGTTAATGCATACCATACAGTGCCATTGTTATTTTTTGACTAATTTATTTTCTTGCAAATTACAGATTTCCGCGCCCATCGCCTCAGTTCTCCATCTCTATGCTACTGTATTACGCTTCAGTACACAGCAAATAAAAAGCGAAGATCACCTGACCATGGCAGTGAATTTTCTCAAGAATGAAAAGAATGTACAAACTTTGAACACTGCACTTGACACACTAGCACGGATTTTCGTGTCAGCGATGGCAAATCCAATCAACGTGATAGTTTGGGGAAATATGCAAGTCGTCGAACAGACGCCGGACATCCCAATAAGAAACACACTTATAGTTATTCTCAGTCACATGAGCATATTTATTTTGTGGCGTATCTTGATTCTTTGGAGTTCCTTTGCAAGATACTATTATTGCAGCATGCAGATGTGGTTTGGGAGAACTTCTCTAAAGGAAAAACAGTCCCCAATTTGGGAAATATGACTTGTGTCTTAATGGCACTGGACCAATTCATTGATTCCAGCTTTGTTGCTTATAGGTAAAGTCCATAAAATCATAAGTATTAACAAGTGAGTGATTTCTGATTTTGCAAGCTGTTCTTTTTTTTTTTGTGCTGTAACAGTTGTACGAAAAGGTCTGAAGAAGAGGAGGAGAGATTGCATAAACAACGTGTAACCTTAATGAATACCCTAGTTTCAGCGATCAAAATTTCCTTTGTGACCAACGAGGCTACCCAGGTACTTAAGTCGCTTGTCCTATACTTATATTGAATCTTATTAGTTCGAACAGAAGACCATTTAGTCATTTACAGCTGGGTACTATTACATGCATTACAGAATCCCCTGATTCAGCCTGTTATTGTATCACTTCTGAGTATCATCATTTTGTTGCATGTATAAATTATTATGAATACACATTTTTTGCGTAGTCTCCAATACCAGTCCCATTTGTGGAGAATTGATGTTTAAATTACCGATTTACTATTTTCTAATACCATTCTTATTACTAATGCATTTTGCTTTCATTATCCAGAAGAGCTTGTCTTCTATCAGTTGTGCCATTTCAAGTACATGGATAAAGCTTGATGAGCTCAAATTTTTAATCCATTCCATCAGTAACATTGGTGCGACACTTTATAATATTGGACATCTTGAAGAGGTGCTGGTCTATTACTTAATTTTGCTTTTAACTATGGACTTCTATATGATTGACCATTGTAACTGCTTCAGGCACCAAAGGCATTAGAACTATGCTGTCAAACAACATGGGCATACGCCAGACTTTCTTACTGTAGACTATCAGCAAGAACGGAAGGTCACATCATTACTGAGGATCTACCAAAAGATACACTGAAGGATATCATTACAGCTGCATTTGCAAGGATAACAAAGATGGTTGGCATTCTCGATAGATGTGGCTCAAAAGCGATACGTGGTATTATTGTGAAGAGCCTGTCTGAATTTTTTGTTTATGGTGACACATCTGATTATCACGAAAGCTATTTGGCTCTGATAAAGTTATGGGTGAAGGTATTATCATTAAAAAAACCAGAGAAACTATCCCGCTTCAAACACTTTGTTGATGTGGTTTCATTTATTTTCTTATGCAAACTTTAGATAACACTTAAGGATTTTGAAGATTACCAACGAGTGGATAGTGCTCCTCTTCTCTATCACTCTCTTATGGGCTGCTCGCCTCCCTTGCCAATGAAGTTCATAGGCTTAATCGTAGAGCAGGTATCAAATTCTGTTTTGTTAAGATTAACAATGGTGTATCTGTATTTTGATCTCATTCTGATGCAAAGTGCTTTCGACGTGCTTTGGTTTTTGCAGGAATTATTAGCATATGGAGAATCTCGTGTGACCATGCTCTGTGCAAATATGCAACATAGAATAGTAGATATTCTATTGAATGAAATATATTGTTCAAAAGAATATTATCTGGACAGATCAAAGGTTTTAGTTAGGAAGGCATGTATACTCCGTGGATCTGGGGTGCAAAACATAAGCAACTGTCTTGAGTCCTTATCTGAAGCCATATCTTTACTGGTAAGCCCCCCTCCCCTTCTTGTCCTGTTTTCTTATGTATACCACAAGGGATATCTAAGATTCATTTTCTTACATCAAACCAGCAAGGCATCTTACTGGATTCATCTCAAGGCAATGCAATTGTGATCCATGAATTGGCTATTGCATATTGCCTGCATGCACATTGTGCCCAGGAAGCCAATCATGGCGGCAAGGTAACTGCTTCATATGAATTGCTTGTACAGTCACTTGTATATTAGCTATAACATGCCTCTGCTTTGTTTGCTTATGGTTTTTTGTTTTTTCGAATAGGTAATCTTTGATAATGCTAGGAGTGTTGTTGGCCTGTGGTCAAAGATGGGTACTTTGGATCATTGTTCTCCTGGTGGGATCTTTCAGCAGCAATCCAAAACTCTTGTACCACTTCTTTGTTCCCTGGTTGATTTGCTGGCAATGAAGGTAAGGCCATGCTAAAAACTATTAGGTAAATTAAGATGCAACTGCTGGCTTTTAGCAAGATAATTATGTGCTTTTACTTTATATCAGGGCTGCTTTGAGCTTCAGTTTGAACTGTGCAAGCTTATCATAATGATATGGAAGCAAGAAAACTTACCCCTAGAAAAGTTATTCTCCATGTTATTTATCAACGGGCGCCTTAATCATGCGTGCTGTCATCTCCCGATGGACCAGAATTTTGTTTCTTATGTGGCACGGCATCTTGGTTTTGATTGCCACAATACAATATTTTGGAGAAACTGTTTCAAAGAAGATTATCCTTCTCTTACTATGTTTCTTCAGCGGTTGTGGCCTGTTGATTTCTTTTCTCAATCATGTGAACACTCCTTTGGAAATCAGTTTGGTTTCAATGCTAGTGTTGATGAGATTGATAAAGTTGCATCATCTCTGGTTTCTGAAGTAAGCTTTGTTTCTTGCATTGCAGTAATGTAGTATGCATCGTCTTTTCGTTTTTTGATGCATCTTGTATTGTTTGATTTTGCAGGGTCCTTCGGGTAATCAATCAACCTATCTGGCTGGCTGTATATACTATGATTTGTCAGAAAGACTTCTGTCAAGAGGACAAGTTCTCCAGGTAATCTGTTTCTTTCTCATCAATTTACCTTGGTGGAAAATCTCCAGTTATTATGAAATTTCCTTGATGTGGAACTGCTCTATAGTTTAGCCTCCCTGTAATTAGAACACCCTTTATTGTATTTTTGCAGGCCATTTCATATGGAAGAGAAGCTCTCCAATTGCGCAAGAAGCTCCTAAAAAAGAAGTTCAAATTTAATTTGGGCAAATTTGTAAGTGGGGAAAGCCAATATTCTGGTGGGCAAGGCTTTGTTTCACTTGAAGCATGGGGACCAACGATGGCTGGAATCTGGCCAGATTGCACCAGGCCAAGCAGCATGAGAGATTCTTTCCTTACCCCATGGAATGTACTTAGATGTTATCTTGAGAGCATATTACAGGTATGTCAATAGTGTGGTATGTGTTAATTTCAGTACCAGCAAAATGAATGAAGGAGTTGGTGGAATATGTGTACCACCGTAGCCATCTATCACATGGTAACATGAGTCAATTCTACCTATGAGCGATGTCTCGTGTTGACACTGCTCTGGCTGTTGGTAGTACCGCAATCATTTAGTGTAAAACCTGGCCTCAAGTAGGCTACAGACATTCTCATATTATTCATGTTTTTTCACGACGTACTCAGGTTGCTGTGATGCATGAATTGGTTGGCAATGGTGCCGAAGCAGAAGTTTTATTACGGATAGGAAAGGAGATATCATGTTTCCAAGGACTACCAATTTTTGCTGTTGTCTTTACATCAGTGTTAGGTACGTACATCTATTAATGATCTATCTATTACTTCATTGTTCTTTTGTTCATCTGTCCATTCTGTCTCATGTTTTAGGTCAAATATACCACAAGAGACAGCTATGGGATGCCGCTGAGGGTGAGCTTAAACATGCTAAGGACCTCCTTGCAGAAAATGATGAATTCATTTCATGCAAGACATGCAAGTTGACTCTGCACATATCAGTTGATGTGCAAGCTGGAGATCTGTCTTGGAATCTCTTTGAGAAAGACTTGCAGAAACAATCAACAGGCAATTTGTCTAGTGCTTTAGGCATGTATCAATCTGCCGTGGAGAAATTGAATAACTCTGGTTTGGATTTTTCTGCTGGATCCTGTGATAAAGTTAATACTAGTTGTATGTTGTGCAGCAAAGATTCTATTGCAGAAACCAAGCGTGGAGCTTGTAATAATGGGAAAGAACCCTTAGCAGCCAAGGATGGAGTTTTACCTCCATGTACTCCTTGTTTGTTGTTCAGTCAGGTACCTATTGACCAGTACGATGAACTTGTGGGATTAAAATCTGAAAGGGAGAATTTGAAGAGTGCCGAAAGTGCTCCACCATTGGATGTTAAAGTTAAGAGGGCATCCGGAACTTCATTACGTTTAGCTAAAGAACAGAATGTGTCAGCTCATGCAAAGACTAGAACCACCCGATCTAGTAAGCGAACTGCACATGTGAAAAGTGAAAAAGACTTGGCTGAACTGAATAACAAAAATGACATATCTTATAGCAAGGAATTGTCCACAGATGGTTTGGTCTGTGGGAAGCTAAACTGTTCTCTTGATGGTGTTGGCCGCAACAGAGATGACATATGCAATATGTTTGGATGTTGGAGCTGCCTTTTTGTTAATTCACTCAATTTTGAGTGCATTGAGAATATACTGCAGTTCAGAGAAGATTGCATTCGCCGACGCCATCTTGTGTCGCTTCTGTTAAAAACAGTCGCTTCTGTTAAAAACAGGTACTATTTTTTTGTTCATGTTCTGTTAATGCCTCAAATCAATATGTGTTATACTGCAGTTAAGAGACACACAGTTGAGGGTTTTACATGGCTATGGAGGCTAAGGGACCTCATTGTTTGGTGACATGGTGCTTCTATGTCAAAACACAAGTGTAGCGAGCTCAGCTATTAGTACATGAACGTGGTCCGTGGAGCTAGAAAAGTGTGGCGAGCCACAACTGTGCCAGTGGAACAAATAGTAGCCTAAGTTTCTTACGCAAGTTGTGCGAGTAGGCACTGCCTGAAAGCTCTCACAACACACATATAACACTCCATATTTCTACACATGATACTTGGAAATTGTATGGATCATGTAGTTTAAGTAGCTTGATCTAATTTCTTCTGTGATTGAGCTACCTGTTGGTTATTATTTAGTTAAGTTCCTTAATTCTTTCATATTGTTCAGTCCTGATGTGTTGCCTATTGCAGCAAGAACCTTGGGAGCTCAGGGTGGAAAACATGGAGCTCATGAAGTTCATAGTATCTACTGGCAGTGCATATCATTGTTGTATTTCAGATCTCTTCCTCAAGGGTGTTATAGAACATATGGGCCTCGTTTAGTTGAACTGATCATGAATGAAAATACTGGTGATTTTCTTTCTTTAGAGCGTGCAGAAATACTATGTAGTATGAGTTCCTTTTTGCTGAAGGGTTTCCTTTCAGAACAGTCAAGGTTTGTCTCATCAACTCCCAGTTGTGCATTTCACGTGCAGAACATTCTGATTGTAGCATTTCACGACCCTTGCTATAACTGTCATCATTGCATCACTATCTGCAGGGATGGTTGCTGCAGCTTCTGTAGTGTACAAATGTCTGATGTTGTTTCATGGTTGCTGAAAGCTTTTGTGCTATCTGGAGAGAGTCCTTCACTTCTCCAGGAGGTCTGTGATATCCTTCAGTCATGTGCTCTTGTAATTTTAAATGCTTAGTGCGTAATATCTATT